AACAGAAGACTAATCAACGTAGATATGGACAGGACCGTTATCGTACCAAATTCTATTTTACTCTGGAGTTTCTTCCATTTTCGTAACTTAAAATCAAATATTTAAAATATTTCTCGATAATTTTATTTGTTATTATAATTTTTTTTTCTATTTATATATAACTTTTATTCTTCCATTTTTTTTATAATTATTTTTATTAAAGATCTTTTCTAATCATTAAACATAGATAACCGGTGATATTATATATAAACATTTTTTAATTAACTTTTTTAAAAATGTATTTCCCAATATTATTACGGAAATACATCTATCTGGAAAATCAATTCTTTAAATATGAATTTGGAATAATTTTTTAAAAATTAATTTTAGAAAATCAATTTTAAAAATATATTTCAAAACGTATTTTTTAGAATATATTTTTAAAAAATTAATTTTAAAAATATATTTCAAAAAACATTTTCCAAAACATTCTTTTAGAAAATTTTCCAATTTTCTAATTCCCTATAACGTGTTTCTAGCCAAATTTTTTTGCATGAATAATAAAAAAAGTTACACATTTTTACATTTTTCTTGTAATTTTTGAAAAAATAAAAAAGAAAAGACTGAAAATGTTGTAGTAGAATTTAAAAATCAATTATTGAACAAAATAAAAAATAAACACTAATAAAAAATGAAAATAAGTATAAAAATAAAATAGATTTAATTTAATTAGTGGGTGCAGGAATAAATTATGGGGTTATACGAAATAATAACCTTCTATTTTCTTGGGAACTTTGTAATTAGAAGTAGGCTTATTAGTTAAGGTAGTTTAAGGCCCACCACAGCCCATTTATCAAGCCCGTTTCGCTACAGGCTTCTTTAATACGGGTTAAGCCCGATAAGCTGGTATGTCAACCCGCATTAAATTAATTAAAAAAGAGATGTGATTTATAAATAACACTGCAACAAAATCGACTGCACCAGGACCAGGATGGAATGTAAAAGAATTAGAATTTACCTAAATTATATAAAATTAATTTTTATTTATGAAATTTACTTTCTTAAAATTATAAAAGTAGATATAAGATATTTATTAATATCATTACATGATTTTTTAAACTATTTTGTATCGTTAGTAATAAATTAATATTACCTTTTATAAAATAAAATAATATTTTATTAGGTTTGAAAAATAATATAAAAATTATTATAATATTTTGTATTTTAAGAAAATAAAATTATTTTTATTAAACTACAAATAAAAGATGAAAGATAATATACAAATAATTATAATAATATTATGTATTTAAAAAATATAAAAATATATGATACATACAAAAATAAAATAAAAAATCATTTAACACGTAAAAGATAAATGAAAATTTGTGATATATAACAACAAAACAAATAAAATAAATATTAAAAAAATTAATAATATAAAAATTCAACACACTAATATTAAAAAAAAATAAAAAAATATATATATATATATATATATATATATATATATATAAAATTTATTTATTTTCTCTGGTAACTTTTTTTTAAACAAAAACTCTATCCGTCGAACGACATGTCAGATTTATTAAAAGGCGTAAATTTTAATAAATTTTACTTAGTAGTGAATAAAATAGTATCAGAAAGTTTGGATTTTTTTTTTCCAAACCAATATTAAAAAACTCATTGATTATTTAAACAGACTCCCACCACCTTATTTACCTAAATACACCTATCTATCCTGCAAGTTGGTTCCCAATAAACGAATTCTAGATACGAATGTGCCATGTAGATAAAATTAGAAATGCAGTCAAAATTCGGTTCATGAACTAAGTTTTGAATTTTTTTTTTAGTACAGGTGCTTATTTATATATATATATATATATATATATATATATATATATATATATATATATATATATATATATATATATATATATAAATTTGTATATTGATATAATTAAATATTATTATATTTAAATATGATAATAATTATATATTTATATACTTATATATATATATAATATAATATAATCTAATTATATATTTAGATATTATGTATATATATTTTGATATTTATATTAATATATTTTTATATGTTTAGATAATTAAATATTTATATATGTAATTTATATGTTTATATATATTAATATTTATTTAATAATGGTATATTTATATATTTAAATATTTATATAGTTGTATTTTTTATATTTTTATATATTTAAATACTGACATAATTATATTTTTTATCTATTTATATATATTTAACTTTAATATATTAGTATATTTATATTTATTATATATATATATATATTTATATTTATTATATATATATATATATTTATATTTATTATATATATATATATATATTTATTTATATAATTAGATATTAATATATTTAGATATTTATATAATTATATATTAACATATGTTACTATTTTTATGTTTATATAATAATATCAAAATTATTTGATTTGTTATGGTTAAGTAATATTAAAAATAAAAGAATGTTGATTTATATTGGAATATATTATTTTTGTGGATGAGTAATATTAGGACACATTCTTTTAGTGTAACTAACTGTGACAAAGTGAACAAAGTTTGAAACGAGTTGACTTTTTATTATGTCTATTTCTATTTTTATTCACTTTGAATGAGTTTTGCAGTTCTCTTCATTTCTGAATTGGGACTCAAAATCGGTCCTTATAAGATTACCAATAAGTTTCATTCCTTAATTATTTATGTAGTTGATAAAATCATGATATGCATGTTTGCAAGTAACTATTAGGTACAAACACGAAAAATGGAGTTTTTGGAATTTTACCACAGCCACACCATGATTTGTCTAACTTTACTACAAATCAGTCTATTGGCCTGACTTTTCTTAGATTGAAGGTTTTCTCTACTACAAATCTTGTACTCATTCAGTCAAACTCAATCACTCTATTAGTTTTTGCCTTTGGATGTGCATAGTCTAAAGCCTTAATTGTGTTAGGTTTTGTTAAGTAAATTCATTATAAGTTAATTAGGTTTATTGGAATGTCTCTTGGTGTGTCTCCCTTAAGGTGAGACTCTTTGGTTTCTATAGAGAGTTAATGTTGTGGTTTATAGAGAGTTAATGGGAGTGTAGAGATACACATATGTAATTTCAATATGAAAAAATCAATAAAAGTGGAGTTTCCAAGTTTCTTGTGAAATTCTTCGTTATCAGGCTGCCACTTCAACATATACGTGTCGAACAACAATTAGATCTATACCCATGACCCATCTCCGCCCCGAGTTTAATGGGGAAAACCCGAGTTGACCAGGGGTAGGGGCGGTTTCAGTTTTTTCCTGTTTTAAAAAGTTGGGGCCACGAGCGGGGATGGGTAATGCAATCCCCATCCCGACCCCGTCCTTGTCCTCGCTCCGACTTTATATTTAAATTTAAATTTTAAAATATTAATATTTTAAAAGTATTTCTTTTTCTGTTTCTATTACATATAAGATCATCTTTTTATATTTCATCATTTTTATTTTTCTTTTATCCATTTTTTAATTTTTTTTATCTTTTTTAATCTTTTATATCAATTAATTTATTACATTATTCTCTCTTTTACTTTTTTGTTTTTACATTTCCTTAATCTCTCTCATCATTTTGTTTTTTTTTAATCTTTTCAACCAATTTGATGAACACAAAGTTAATTGTTTTTTTTCTTTATCTTTTTCTAAATATTTTACATAAATTTTAGTAATAACTAATATTATTTTATTTATGATTTATATTTATTAGGTTTTATTATGTCATAATTTTTTACTTTATTATTCTTATTTATTATGCATCAAATGTTATCTTAATAAAATAATTGTATTTTTAAATATTAAAATGAATTTATAATTTAAACTTTTATTACTTCAAACTAAATAAATAAGAATTAACTTATTAAATATTTTCTTATAAACTATATATTTCATATTTTTAAATGACATCTTAAAAATAAATGAACTTATATATGTAATCAAATGTTTGAATATAATATTATAATAATAATAATAATAATAATGTTATAAGTATTGAAATATTTGAATACAGTGTTATAATAATAATAATAATAATATTATAAATATTTTATATATATAAATAAAAAATGATAAAATATTTCTTTTACATATATATTTTAATATAAATATAATAAATTAAAAATATATATATTTAATTAATAATTATTATAAATTATAAAATTATAAATATTTATTTGTATATAAAAAATACATAGTAAAATTAATTTATTATAAATGTAATTATCTTTTTAAAAATAATATAAATCGGGGATGGGGTGAGAGTGGGGGTGGGGGCGGGGCGGGAACCTGGAACCTTGAACCTTGCGGAGACGGAGACTTAATTTCTAATCCCGATGGGGATCGGGAACAGAAATGGTTAAAAAAGTCGGGGACGGGAGATCGACTATGGTCGTCACTTCTCTATCTCTTTCAGTGAAGAACTTATTACAACGTGTATATGTTGTTGTCACCAAAAAATAAATAAAAAAGTTCATTGTCTTTTTGAAGATTAAATTGATTAACTCTATTAAATTGGTGGTCATTGTTCCAAGTTAGTATCCACTTCTTCCTTCAGATTTTATTTGACCAAGTTGTTACCTTTAGATCTTCATTTTTTTTTGGACTCAGTCATTTCATATATTATTTACAAAATAATTGAAATAAACCACTGAGTACTTGAGTTAATTAAAATATAATGAAAATAAATCACTGAGTACTGATAACATATATTGTTGTCACCTTCTTCGTACTCGTACACAAGTAACATTTAAAAAAAAAAAAAAATGTCGCAGTTTTATTAGATTTGTTTTGTTACAGATAAAATCGGCCACGTGTGACACTTGAATATTCATCGTGATCCGACAAGAAGAAAGAGACGCCCCATATCCAATACTGTCATCCCCTTCGTTCATCTTCCCCCCGCCAACACCCTAACTAAAAATCCTCCCGTCTTCATTCACTCCCCTTCATCTACTCTCTTTTCAATGGCCACTCTCTTTAATTTTCACACCACCCTTCGCCCCTCTTGCTATCTGCCCTTGTCACCCTCACCCTCCTCGCCTTCTCTGCTACCTACATCCCACTTCTCCAAGACCCTCCTCTCGACAACTTTCTTGGGTCACACCGAAATCCTCAAATATGCTGCCACTTCCACAAGCAACCGTGACCGTTCACTCTCTGCTCGCATGTCATGGGACGGTCCTCTCTCTTCCGTCAAATTGATCATTCAGGGTAAAAATCTACAGGTATGCTTGGATTTTGGGTTAACATACTCATGTTACCCCCATTTTTTTTTCTCTCGTAAAAGCAACGATTTTGAAAACCTAAATTTTCAAATCAACCTAATAAGCTATTTCTCTTCGTTTTTAGCTCCCTGATGCAGTGAAGCAGCATGTGGAAGATAAAGTGGGAAAGGCGGTTCAGAAGCATAGTCACCTAGTGAGAGAGGTTGATGTGAGGCTTTCTATTAGAGGAGGAGGTGAATTTGGGCGAGGACCTAGAACTCGTAGGTGTGAGGTGAGCCTGTTTTCACCTTAAAGTTCCAATTTTGGTAACCTGGGATGGGATTGATACATACTTACCAGGTGGGTTTAATTATTTGATTTCGTTTATATTAGGTGACTTTGTTCACAAAGAGGCACGGAGTGTTGAGGGCTGAGGAGGACGCTGAAAGCACCTATGGAAGTATAGATTTGGTATCATCAATCATTCAGAGGAAGCTGAGGAAAATAAAGGAAAAGGAGTCAGATCATGGTCGCCACATGAAGGGTTTCAATAGGTTGAAGGTTAGGGAGCCGGTGGAGCAATTACCTGTGGCAGAGGATGAAATGTTATCTCCAGAGCAGGAGGAAGAATCAATCGATGAGGTTGGTAGTTCGTACTTAACAGTTAGGCCTTATTGTTTAGTTTCATTATTTATATCTCTACTTAAATTCAGCTTCATATCATGCATACTTCCTTCATTTGCTCTGTTATACTTTTGCTTTGCTTCTTGTGATTTTGCACATCTTAAATTGGGTTCATACATGTTTATTTTTTCCAGAAAAGAAGTTTCGGATATTCTCCAACACCTCTTTCCTTCTCCCGAAAAATACTTGATGCTAGATTGTGATATATTCTATAAATAAAAGTGAAAATGGTTCTACATACACAGATTAGAAAAAATGGCTTGTTGGTTTGAAAGTGTAGTTTTGACGGTGTTTTGCTTTGAGTAATTCAAACGTTGCACCCAAATTCCTTTGCTATCTGTTGTTAGTAGTGTAGTAGAGGCATTATTGCCTAACATGAGACAGTCTTTTCTTTCTCTTTCCTTACATTGCTCCTACCCAAATTGTGAGCTGTCTTAACAGGTTGTTCGCACAAAGTACTTTGACATGCCACCCTTGACTGTGTCTGAAGCTATTGAGCAACTTGTAAATGTTGATCATGACTTTTATGGTTTTCGAAACGAAGAAACTGGTGAGAAATTAGTGAAAATCTATCTATCTTTTGTTTGGATTTGTTTCTCCCACCATTTTCTTGGCCCCCCTCCCTTACTATGAGTAATTTATATTTTAATATTCTGGGAAATTACAACTTTTTTCATTTGTTTCAGGGCAAATTAATATTGTGTACAAAAGAAAAGAAGGTGGATATGGACTCATTATACCCAAAGGTGATGGCGAAGCAGAGAATTCGGAGCCTGTTGTGCTTGAACCAGCTGTAGAATCCTCCCTGAAAGAATGATATGCACCCACCCACAAGAAACACTTTTTGTAAGAACACAAGAGCTTGTACATGATTAGCGGATACTAATGGCAGTTTCTTGGAGCCAGTGCATAGGCAATTTCAGTGTAGGCTCTGACATTTTCAAGTGCAAACCAAGTTTATAAGTATGATGTACGCTAGGATGACTAGCGACTGTAAAATGAAAGAGATGCACCATTTTGTGTGCACTATATTTGCATATTATTTCCATATCACGTCTTTTGTCCACAAAATAGTTCTGATCACTAGTTTGTTCTGTTTCTTGTCTATAGCTTATCCAGATTAGACCATAAAAAGTCAATCATTTTTCACTCCTTTCCTTTAACTAAGTGTTTGTCTAGCAAATTTTATTGCATATTGTGTAGAGGTGATTAGGTAAATGATTGCTGACAAGAAATCCAAGTGATAGAGTCAGAATCAAAGACCAGTTTTCTTGTTTAGGGTATGTGATAAAATAAAACAGCCAGAATTGTCTTTATTGTATCTGGTTATGCTGCTATGCTGGTCTTAAATTAATTATGCCAGAGAAGAGGATCTGCAGCACCTTTATAATTCGAGTGCACTGTTCCGATATTTGTAACTATTCGAATGGTTATGGAAAGTAGTAATGTGAGCATAGTATTGGGGTAGGGCATGAGGATGGAATGGTTATAGAAAATAAGGTATTGAATACTGTTCACATGCTATATAACCCCGTTTGGATTCACGATCGCGCATTCACCAAATGGTTAACCAAGTTCCATTGACTCTCTCCCCACGAGACATTGGTTATCGCTAATAATGGTTTTGCGAAGTTATATATGTCATTTGGTTTCTGGTGACTAAGTCATATCTCGACTATTGCTCGAAAGCGTGAAAGAAAGGCCATGGTACCACCGTTGGTTTTATTAACACACATTCAGCATTGCAGGGGCCATGAATTATGAATTATTTACGATGTGTATGCAAGATCCACCCATTTTAACCCCCATGAAGAAACTTCATGGTATGACAATTTAGACTTCATACATATTTCTGCAGTTTTCAAGATGCTGATTTTGCCTACTAGAGGGGATGAAGTATCTAAGTTTCAATTTGCTGACTTAGTTGGATCCATAGAAATCGTGTCAATTGATGAGATACCATAAACTGGATCATAGGTCACTAGTCAATAGATAGATTATGCACGGGAAAACAAATTTTTATTTGAGGTTCTTGAAAGTGATGAAGATCTTATTGAATTACTTTAGTAAAGATCTTGTTGATTTGATGAAGTCAAAGGTTACTATACTGTAGTCAAAGGTCACTTAGATAAAAAAGTAGAGTGATTAGTGAGTCTGCATCTTTACTTAGGTATAATCATTTTTATCTCTCTGTTGCATGAGGTTTCTTCATTTAAAAGATTTTGCAAATGCCTCTAAAACATGTTTAAACGGTTAAAAACAAAGTATTTTGTTAAAAAAAATTTAAGTAACTATTTTAACTAATAGTATATGAGCTTTTATCAACTAAAATATTCTTAACACTTTTGTAACAAGTTTTTAACTTATATGTTTTCGAAATAATCGATTGTTTTCATTAGAAGGATTTTTGAAAACCTTCTGCAAGTATTTTAACCGATATAGAATTGATATAATTGATTAAAATGACTTAGAATATTTTGAAAAGTGTTATGGCAGAATTTTAATCGATACAAACTCAAAATAATCGATTAAAATAACTTGAAGTGTTTTGAAAGTTGTTCTGTCAGTATTTTAATCGATACAAATGCGAAATAATCGATTAAAACAACTAAGAGGTTTTTCCAGAATGTTTTAATCGATTAAAACAAGTATGCTATTAGTTAAAATAACTTAAAAAGTTTTATGAAATCTTTTGGCAGAATTCTAATCGATTAAAATGCGTTTCAATCTATTAAAATAACTAAGTGAACTTTTTCCAAAATGTTTTAATCGATTAAAACAGATTGTTATCGATTAAAATCACTTAGAAAGTTTTATGAAAACCTTTAGCAGTATTTAATCGATTAAAAGACGAAACAATCGATTAAAACAATTTGAAAGATTTTTTACAAAGTGTTTTAATTGATATAAACGTTGTCGTATCAGTTAAAACAAATCTGGAAAAAAATCAAGAACATTTTAACATATTAAAAGAAGTTTTAACAGATTAAAAGATTATTTTAACAAATTAAATAAACCAGCAGTTTGGAAAATCTTTTATATAAACAAATTTGCTTGAACATTTTAAAACACATCTTTTGGCAATCAATCAAGCAATCATAAGTGCTATTTTCAAGAGAGAATCGCGCTAGTTTTGTGAAGTTCTTAGAAGTTCTTTTTTGAGGCAATATTTGCATTCTTTTGGTGAAGAAACTCATTCTGCAGAGCTGCATAAACCTGGTTTGGGTGTTCTAGTTTCTTCTCTTTGTTTCTTTACTTTTCTTTTCTGTATTGAGGGTGCTTGGAAGTGTGGGCACTGGTTTCTGTGGCTGGAATTTGGCTGCAGGGTTGTTCAAGAACTGTAAATTGGTTCTTGGTGAAGGTTTAGGTGAAAGGACTGGAATTTTGGTTCTTGTGGTAGATTGAGTGTGTGATTGAAGTTGTAATCTGTAAAACGTTCAATCTAGTGAAACCCAGCTGGAATTTGGATGGAAACTGGACGTAGCCCTGGGATTGGGTGAACCAATATAAATCTTGATTGTATCTTTCTAAACCTTTCTCTCTTTAATTCTATCAATGCCTTTACTTTGATTGTTTGCTGTGTTTGATTCAAGAATTGGTCAGAATTCTTAATCTTTGAAATAGATAATCTGTAAATTGCGAAAATCTTTCAAAGATCAATTCACCCCCCTCTTGATCTCAGCCTACATTTCTAACAATTTGTATCAAGAGCAAGGGTCTTGAAAAATACTCAAGACTTTCGGTCCAAAACTTTCATGGCTGAAAACAAATTACCTTTTTCTGAGGGAGCTTCTATTAATAGACCTCCATTGTTTTGTGGTATAGATTATCCATTTTGGAAGATTAGGATGAAGATCTTTATTGAATCTATTGATAGGAATGTTTGGGATGTAATTGCTAATGGTCCATTAATTACAGAAAAATAATGGTCTAGTTTAAATGATGAAGAAAAGAAAAAAGTTCAAAGTGATTGTACTGCTAAAAACATAATTACTTCTACACTAAAGATGGATGAATTTTTTAGGGTCTCCCAATGCAAATCTGCCAAGGAAATGTGAGAAGTTCTTGAGGTTACTCATGAGGGGACAACTGATGTAAAGAGAGCCAGAAAGCATACTCTCATAAGAGAATATGAGTTGTTTAAAATGCAAACTGGAGAAAGTATTGCAGATGTGCAGAAACGCTTCACTCACATCATCAATCATCTAATGAGCTTAGGTAAAACTTTTGATAAAGAGGAATTAAATATAAAAGTTATAAAATGTCTTGACAGGTTATGGCAGCCCAATGTCATAACAATCTCAGAATCAAAAGACTTATCCGTCATGACAACAACCTCCTTATTTGGCAAACTCAGAGAACATGAAATGGAAATTAACAGATTCAATGAGCAAGAAGTCTCTGAGAAAAAAGGTAGAAGCATAACACTCAAAGTTGAAGAAAGAAATCAAGAATCAGAGGAGGAAAGTGAAAATCTTGGACTGCTTGTCAGAAAATTCAACAAGTTTCTTAAGAAAAAGATTCAAGATAAAAAAAAAACATAAAAGGTATGAAAAGAAATCTGATTCTTTTAACTATAAATGTTATGGCTATGGTAAGCAGGGTCATGTAAGAATGAAGTGTCCAGAAAAGAACAAATACAATGATAAGAAAGAAGAAAAGGTCAAAAGAAGAGCATATGTAGCATGAGATGACAATGATACCTCATCAACAGAAAATTCTGATAATGAAGAAGCGAACTTGTGTCTAATGACAAATCAAAATTATCAAACCAGCAGTGTAAGTTCTAACTCTTCTTCATATTTGGTGAATTACAATTCATTATAAGAAGCATTTAATGAAATGCATGAAGAAACCAAGAAACTGCAAAAAGAAAATGATAGGCTAAAAGACATGAATAATTGGTTAGTAAATAGAGTTGATTTTCTTGAAAAGAAAATTCTTGAAGATGAAACTGATCTTGATTTCTTAAAATTAATCCATGATAATTCTGATTGTGTATGTAATAAACCATGTAATAATTGTCCAGAATTACAAAAGAAAATTGATTTTTTATCACAAACTGTTTCAAAATTTACACAAGGTCAAACTAATCTTGATGTTCTTCTTGGGTCACAAAAACTTATTTTTGACAAATCTGGCATTGGATTTACATCTAGCAAGAAATTCAGAAAAACAAATGTGAACAGGAAATCATACTCATCATGTGTTATTAAATGCTTTTACTGTATGAAAAAAGATCATTCTGTGAAATTTTGTAGAATTAAGAAATATGTTATTCCTAGAAGTAGAATGAAGTGGATTCCCAAAAATTCATTTCAAATAACCTGATTAGACCCAGTGATTATAAAAGGGTACCAGAAATATACTAAATTTGTTTTGCAGGAACAAATTCTGGAAATCCCTTGGTGTCTAAAACAACAAATTCGATTCTGGTTTCATGAACTGAATGTTTTAATTGATATAAAACAGTTTTAATCGATTAGATTCACTTACAGAGAATACTAGAAAAGTTGGCAGTACAATTTTAATCGATTAAAATACGAATTAATCGATTAAAATGCTCTCAGGATTTTTAGTTTAGTTGTTTTAATCGATTAAAAAGGATTTATATCAGTTAAAATCACTAAGAGGTAAAATTTAATCGATTCTTCTTCGTTTTAATTGATTAAAATTGTGTTATTATTTTATTAATTTCTTCTAGTACAGAAATAATCGATTCTTTTATGTATTAATCGATTATTTCACTGTTGGATTTTCAAACCTAATATTAAAGATCAAATTAATAGGTTAATTTGTTAATTAATCGATTAATTT